TCTCTCTCTCTCTCTCTCTCTCTCTCCCCCTGCTCTATCTGCCGTCGAGTTTGCTTCAAATTGTTCATTTGGACAGCCATCTGAGTCTGAAACATTGTTTCTTTCAACTGCAACTGAACTAAGCGAATTCACCCATTTACCGGTGCCTGTGTGGTAGCAGTTAGGTGTTTCGCCATCACACGAAGGAGGTCTGAGTTCGATTCCCATGTGGAGAGATCCTTATATTATATTTATCGAGTATCTCTGTCTTGCTTTTGAGATACAAATGTACATGTATTATTGTATCCCTCTCAGTCTGGGCTGGCCCTGATTGACAGTGTCGCACCCCACCTTCTGAATTATCTATATTATTTCGATCGGGGAGTTAAAAACGCGTGCATTTAAATTATCTAGGTCGTCATATGTCCGATCTGCGTCATGTTCAGATTTCTGTGAGGCATACGTTCACATTAACCGACTACTGCTACATGATGTAATGCATGGTTTATGAAGTACTGTGGGTCATTTTCCGGGCAGAGATATAGCGTGATATAATTATATATAATATAAATTTGTACAATGTCATGTACATGTAACCAACACTTTGAACAAATGGCCTTTTGGACTGTCGACTGATTAAAGGGCTGGGATTCCCTGGATAATGACGACAGACTGAAAGAGAGGGAGTGGTACGTTTGAGAGAGAGAAAGAAAGATTTGCCGGGAGAGAGAGAGAGAGAGAGAGAGAGAGAGAGAGAGAGAGAGAGAGAGAGTTTAATTATGTTAATTTGTTAACAATGAAGGTGTTTTTATGCCCCTATCAACGCAATTTACATCATTTCGGAGGCGTGCTTGGACTCCAGGGCCTTCATTGGTTGGGAATGTTACAGCGTTGAAGCAGAAAGACCGAGATATCATATGTCGCACTCTATAAAAACTCTTCCAAGGGAATCGACCTCAGGCCTTCTGGCAAAACGTCAAACCGCTAGAGAGAGAGAGAGAGAGAGAGAGAGAGAGAGAGAGAGAGAGAGAGAGAGAGAGAGAGAGATGTCACTGGCCACTGGCATAATTTGACTTTTGCACTTTGGACAATCACTTGGGTACATAATATGTATACATTTGAGCATCACATAAACCCACGTTCATATAAACTGGTATAATGACATACGTCTGTTACTCAAGTTACCGCTCGGGCTGAAATTTACAGTGTACGCAACCATTGTTTTACAGGAAAAAAAGGTATCACGGGACAGTTAAACACGATTTAAATTTATTATGGTACAACTCAATAATAACAGCGCAATCGCTTTTCCATTTTTTTTTTGCGATGGTAGCCACAGCGTGAAGGTGATACCCATGTTGGATGATACATCCGTTATGCAGGCCCTTTATGGCGTTTGTGATCTTTACAAACCATTGGTGGGTTTTACGTTGTTATACACGTTGATCCAGTCTGTTGTGTTTGCCAGATCAGTAAAACACCATGACTGACTGGCCCATAAAATTGCAATGAAGTCTGCTATCAAGGGAGGTAGCCATTAAAATTAGCCGCAAATATTCCTGAGATTATGAGTTATGTCCCCATTGACATTGAAGCTGTAAAATGGTTCTTTCCATCAGTGTTTTGATATAGATCTAATGTACTTTTTAGCTTTCGTAAGAGCTTTTCGGCACTTGCAACACAAATAGATCATATAAGTGCCGAAGATTAGAAGAGAGTAACGTGCAAAGAAAAGAATGTGGAGAGATAAGGACGATAGATTTAGGAGGAAAAAGGGAGCAAACTGCATCAGCGTGCCCGCCAACCACCCACATATGCACAGTGGTATTGTTAAAGTTGATACCTTCATTTTGTGTGATTGGGTGCATATATATTCTTGCATGGATTAATTTTCTATCTCACTCTCATACTCATAGTGACTCAATATTACGCAAAATATATTTTTATGAAAAGAAATCCGTAAAGGGAATGTGGGTAGGAGAATGCAATGCTTACTTGCATAATTAGTAGTATTTTTATGAAATCCACAGAAGATATATCTGTACATGTAATGCTTCTCATTTAAGTAGCATTCAGTCAAACCTGCTCTACCAGCCACCTGTCCAAGACAATGCTCTACCAGCCACCTGTCCAAGACAATCACTTGCACAAACGACCACTTTCCAGTTCCCCCTTTGCAAGTTTTCTACATTTCTACATTATAATGACACTGTCGAAGACGACCTCCTGTCTAATATGGGGTGCCCACTATGGCTGGGATTGGCCGATCGGGCCGATCGCCCGACTCAATCGCCTCAAAAACAAACAAGTTTGTTTTCAGTTTCAGGTGATCAAGTCGGGTGATCGGCCCGATCCAGCCGTAGTGGGCACCTCGAATAAGAAAACCACTTCTTCTCAACAATGGGTGGCTGACTTGGATAATTTCGACTGTATGTAAATCTGTATACCCTCATTATGTTACGACAAAGGTCTAGGTCAACTCACAAGCATCAAAATCAAACTGGTCCAACTTTCCTCACAATTATCAAATGAGCCTGTCACCACTTCATAAAAAATTGTAAATACGCAAATAAATTACGAAGCTAAATTTTGAAGTTATGAAAAAAAATCATTATGGTTTTAGTCACAGAAAGTCATGGAACTAAGAGACATCACACGATTTTCTCAAAACTATGACCAATAACTAATGTCGTGTCACATTGTAACACACTTAGGATATATGAATATTCTCTCAAATTAAAACCAACCTTGCAAGCAATAAGACATTGTACTATGTACCAATGAACCTTACTCTTCAACCATAAGCAAAGGCGAGAGAGGGAGAGGGAGAGGGAGAGGGAGAGGGAGAGGGAGAGATAGAGAGAGAGAGAGAGAGAGAGAGAGAGAGAGAGAGAGAGAGAGAGAGAGAGAGAGAGAGAGAGAGAGAGGGAGCGGGAGAGCGTCTTGTATGAGTGCACATGCATATGTGTGTACAGGCAAGAATGTGCAAGACCTCACTGGTATGTGAATGCAGTGTCTTGTTCGAATGAAATGATTCTACTTCTACAAGTACATGTCAAGTATTTATATATGACTGGAGCTACAAAAATTACAAATAAATTTATATAATGTATACAAACTGTCTTTTGCTTTTGTGTGCACCCATGTAAGGATGAGTGTATACATTTAGAACAGCATTGCCATGAAAATGACAGAATTTACTTTTCAATATTCTATTTCAGGAGATTAAATGTTACGATATTATCTTCCAACCAGTTACCATATTAAATTATATTGTTTAAAACCCACACTATACAGCAGGTTGGAAGAACAGGATAATCACAGCCTGTCTGTCAACATTGTTGGACAACCATCCCTCATATGAGACAGATGCAGTGAGGAACAGTCTCAAAGTAAATTTTCAGATTCAACATTATTTTACTTATCATTTCACTGCTGCATGTAACAGCACTTTAAAGTTAAAATGTTAAATGAACAGATCACATTAAGGGTCAACAGTGCAATTTTTAAAAAAATGCATACTGAGTCATTTTAACTCCATCCCACCAGGGAAGGATACACATCTAACTAAAATCACATTGAGACCAAAGCATACTCCACATAACTAGATTGATAAAGTTATATTTACTAGCACTAAGGTATATATATGTGTGTGTATGTTTTTCTCACACATCAAAATCAACAAAGTGGCAGGTGTCAGCAATACAAGACAGTTTTCTTTTTCAATTAATCATAAATATTATTTATAATACCCTGCTAGACACTGTTTACATAATTTAGAGAGTAGGGCACCGGGCACTGGGACTAAAGAAAAATAGTCCACGAAGGACCAGTACATATAGGACCTCAGTTAGATGAAGTTTTTATAAAATACCTTCTCAACCATCAAGCAACCCTATCCTTAGGCCTTTTTGTTAAAAACCGCCGACCTTCAAAACTGTAGGCCTATGAAATACTGAAAAACGTCAATTTTTAACCCCTTCATGATCTGCATGACATGTGGCGTTAGTTATTTTCTCTATTATGGCGAAGGAAACAGGACATTGCTATGGCAAACAGTGCTCGTCGTGTCTCACAGAGCACAAGGACCATCACGATCAGTCATGTTTCTCATATTTTGTTTTCACCACACTGTTTCTATCAGATGGAATTTGTAAAACTAATTGGGGATTCAAATTCAGTGGTACTTTTTCTGTATGAAGATATCTTTCACTTTTAGAGTTTGTCATAATATTTACAAACCAGGTCTAGTTACAGGCAGTCGACTGCTAAATCGAGCACCATCCTCCCTCCCCGAGGATCCAAAATTCTGCTGGGAGAGGACACAAATCGACCCTGTGTCATGAAGGGGTTATAGAATTACCATACTTCAAAGAACCACATTATCTGACCTTGCAATTTGCTAAACCAGATTGGATACAATTTTTCTTAGGTTTCGGTTGTATAAAAGACATATGTATATATTTTTTGGAACAGAATCGTAAATAAGAATACACACTAAGAAAGGAAAATGTCACTTTTACTGAGTGCTGAAAAAAGGATGTCTAGAACACTAAAACATACACACAATATTATAAACACAATCACTCAAAGAGGGTCAACACAAATAATTAATAATATCAACAGCTCAATGTAAGTCTCCGTCATACGTCACTTTCAAAATAGCGTATGGTGTAGTCTTATACCAAGCAGTCGATATGTAATAGAATTCATGTGAAAGCCGACCAAGAGTACAGCTAGCTAAAACTACCTACCTCAAATTCAAAGGAAAAAAGAATATCTTCTTCTGTCCTATGATGCAAACTTTATTGTATTATAATGCATTCAGATAAACATGCAGAAAACTCAAACCATTTCATGAAAACTGAGTAATCAGAACAAGAAATAAAGCACACCATCAACTATAAGATAGTTATGGTACGGAACTAAGCATGCACCACAAGGGTATCACAGAACAACAAAGAAGGAAATGTTATTGTCGTTTGATTCGTGATTACAAGCGAGTCGGACAGAGGACACAATAACAATATTGAGAACCCAAATTCAGTATAAAAGTAGTGCAACTGAACAACCCTTTTCAAGATTAAGTACTTAGGGATTCACCAAGTATGTTGCTGATTTAAAAACTTTATTTCAGTTTGATTAGTTTTTAGGAGAGCCAAAACTTTATGACTTTCAAATTACCCGTAAATCTCTAACCAGCTCATACATAGGCTAAAGCGGCACATACGCAGATAGCTGGTGCAAACCCAGGAATGTAGGGTAATAGAGAAAACTGTTACAGTGGTAGTGATTGTCAGCACACCACACAATCAGATTGACAGATAAATCAACTGATATTGCAAATTTCTGTTCAGTTTTTTAAGCAAAGACTAGAACAGATTCTTAAGGTAACTTTCATTCAATAAATTCCCATATCTGGAACCAAACACGTCTTCCATTCTGCACACATCAGCAGCTTATCAACACACAGATAATAGATGTGTACTTTAGAAGAGCCAACAACATGTTGCATTATCAGAAAAGCAACTCATTATGGAAACACTGAGCAAAAATTGACACTTTATTGAGTATAAGTTAAAGATCCACCAACATTAAACAAGTATCATGAAAAACAAAAAGAAGTCTTGAGAAAGACAAACCAGCCAATCAAGTTGAACATTAAAATTAATAAATGTCAATTTAGAAAAAAACACATATTCAATTTTTTTCTTTCCTCATGTTTACCTTTCACTAATCAAACAGTATTGGAATGAGATGACTCAGAAACTACAAAGTAAAATTACTCTTAAAAATTACATCTACTTTCAGTAAAGGGGAAGAAAAAACGAGAGGAAGAACCGTGATAATTGTTTGTTGTATCTTTTTAAACCATGATAATTGTTATTGTTAAGGCTTTTGAACATTTTGTTTAAAAAGATCTTTTGAACTTGATTAATTAAGGCCCCCCAAATAGTGATAATGACAGGCATGAACCCCAGCAATTTGAAATTATCAAAACAAAACACAGTACTCTCTTATGAAAATTTTCTAGTTCATTAATGTAAAAGTATTTGAGCTACTGAAAAGCTGTTGGCAGCAATTCAGAAATTGTATCACAAAATTCAGCGTGATAATAAGATTAGAATGAAACTTTAAATGAAATGAAAAATGCACAAATAACAACAACAGAAGCATTTAAGTTTCTAGCATCACAATTATAGTACAAGTACCTAGTATAGTCACAAGTTAAAGTAATAAAATAATGCTTGACAACCCCATGGAAGGGATAAGTGTGTAAGGGGCTCAGTGAGAGTCAACCGGGCAGCAATGGAGATTCATTCAAGTCCATCTCAATCTCATTGTCAAGGTAGTAATGGAAAGAAAAAAAAATTAAGCATACCATAATAACATAAAAATGCAGTTCTTAACTGCGTGTGAGACAAGCAATTCTTCCGAGGCAAACATATAAAAATAGAATTACAGGAACACATCAACCATTCATTTGTGGACAAATAGAGTCATTTGTTTATCTTCTTAGTGTTTTCATGTTTCAAATGGACTTTTAAAAAAAATGTCGGGTACTGATAAGTTTCAGTTGAGCAAGTTGTATTCTTTTAGTAGGGTACAGCAATTGAAAAAAAAAATTCTCACAAGTCTGTTGTCTTCGGAACTCTGGCTGCTTCACCAATTACGAATAGCTTAAAAGTGATCACTGTCTATGAGAATTTCCTTAAGAAACTAAATTTTGGAACAAAGAGCTTCTCCCCTTCATCACAGAAATAAATGACCATGAAGATAAAACAATGACAAAAAAAGTCCTCAATACTGCATTTGCGTTTATACCTGCGTAGTAGAAATTCTTTCACAGTGCTAAAGCAATATGCAAGCACCATAACTTAAGTCATGTGAACTACATGCCAATCAATATAAAAACTAATTATTAGTATGTGAGTAAAGTCACGCTTTATGAGTCATATAACTGACCACATGATAGATCAAAGAGATTATTATGGCCGCCAGATCTTGAGGTCGCATACCATAATGTTAAATCACACAAGATTGATACCGTAAGAAGCAACCGTATGTTGACACAATGCCAACATCACTTACTTGTGAAGCTGTAGAGGAGCAACAGATTTTCTTCAATAACAAAAAATAGCAACTAGGATCGAAGTTCTTTTTAAAAAAATTTTAATTAAATTACAGCAAATCCCTCAAAAGTAACCTATGTTTTGCGGAACTAAAAAGAATAGCCCATCAGTACAGACAGTCATGCTAAGTAATGGAGAGCAAAAAAAAACACCAAGACAATAAAGCAGAAAGTTGAATAATCTAACAGAACCCAATGAGAGCAAAATGGCCAAAAAAAACTGGTTTAAAAAATTTAACTCTTACAAAATGGTAAACTATGAAAAGAATGCACCGAAGGTCGTAGAAAAAGTCAGACTCAAAAATACTTTGTTGCCTCCACAGGAGTTTATTTGCTGATACATAAAAAAAACCCAGACAACTGGTTACTTGTGGAACAATTTTTTTATAGTAGAAAAAAAGGAAAGAACACTTTTATTATTTGCTCAGATGGTGCAACAATTTCATGCCAAAGGAAGAAAAACAGTTTCATGAATCATCACCATTTTTCTTATAATCATATGTTTTCCAGGCTCTGTTGACACACTGATGACAAAATGAGTTTGCAACTGACTATTCTATCAAAGTGAAATAACTGAATAGCATAGGGGTGCATTTTTTCCCCGAGGAAAACATGGCTTCTCCCAGCTGTTCCAAAAAATCTGCAATATGACTTGAAACACCTGTCATAATCTACAGGGAAACAGTGACAGAAGCTGTTACCAGCACGCACAACAGAAGCCAGTGGCTGAAAGGCTGAGAGGAAACTTTCGCAAATACCGACATGCCAACACTCAATGACAGAACTAGGAGTTTTCCTCAGAATCCCCCCAAAAAGAAGGAGTTTGGGGGAAAAAATCAGTTTCCGGAACCCCAGTAGAAGATTAGATTAAATAACACATAGATTATGGCAAATAAACGTGTATTGCAAATACACACAGACGAAGACAAAATAAAAATAATTTTACATTTACAACAAGTCGTATACTACCCGATGGAAACGGAATTAAGAAAACCGATCAAATATTAAGCATATCCAATCTGGGCTCTTCAATGGGCTTGGAGAGCCTCCATTTTTATCAGGGTACTGAGCAGATCTGCAAATAAACAACTTAGGATTGTGTTGACTTTCTTCTTTTGTTCTTTCAATATACATGTATATAATAATAGCGCAAAACTGTTCAAATCTTAAGAGGCATTGGTACTAATATTCCCCTCGGGCGTCTGGCCGCTGACCCCAGCTATACAGTTCCTCGCTGCGATACAAGCCATGGCATTGCGAGAGTCCCACGTGTTGCTGCCCATGTGTGGCAGGATGACGCAGTTGTTCATTGACACCAGAGGGTGCTCCTTGGGTAGAGGCTCAGGCTCCGTCACGTCCAGGCCGCACGCCTGGATCTCCCCGCTCCTCAGCGCATCCACAAGGTCGTCGTGGTTGATGACCCCGCCGCGGCCAGAGTTGACCAAGATGGCCGTGTTCTTCATCTTCTTGAACGTGTCCCTGTTAAACATGTGCCTGGTCTGAGGGGGGGGACGACAAACATCACAGAGTTGTAGCAGACGCTAGCTCAACATGAATGATAACCGTCAGGTTTTGCGGTCAAATTTGAGCAAAGTTTTAGTAACGTTTTACGGCGCTCGCAACTGCATAAGGTCATATGAGCACCAAGGGGTGGATGTCAACAGAGAAGTCTTAACAGGGAATCAGGCTTACTCTGCTCACCTCTCTAGCCTCAACAGCACAAAGTCTGCTTCGACTCTCAAGGCACCCCGGAAAAAGCAGTTCACCAAAGAGTGACAAACATACAAAAGAAGTAGAGGAAAACGACAATAGTAATGATGAGGAAAGAAAAAGCAGCCATTCCCCCTATGTTGTTCCGGTAGAGTATGAGCATGACATTAATACATCCGCCTTGTTACAATTCTAGTGTGCATAAGAACATGTTAATATCCCCCCTTTGGGAATAGCCTAAAGACAACCTCAGTCAGTTGCATTGTCCTGGGGAGGGGAATCTGTGCAAAGCTCATCGACACAATGGATAATTATCATTAAGTGCAGGGAAAGAGTCAGTTTTTTTATTTTAAAATAAGACTTGCAACACAAATAGATCATATAAGGGCCGAAGATTAGAAGTGTAATTGGAGAATTAATTACATACAAAGAAAAGGAAGAGAGATAAGGACGGAAGACATGTCTAGTATTCAAATCTGAGGAAAGGAAAGCTCGTTGACACAATTTCTGTAATTTAGTGTAGGGAGAAAGTTGGACGGCTAGACAGAAACAACAGAGAAAAAGAATAGAAGTATGACCCGTATATATATATTGTCCCAAATCACCCTTTCTTTTTTTTAGATTTAGTCCGAGTTTTACGGCACTTACAACACAAATAGGTCATGTATATACCCAAGATTTGAGGTTTTACTGGAGCGTAACATTCACAAAGAAAAAAATAATTCATTTGTGAACATAGATGTTTAACAGATACCACAAACAAAGAAACTCATTTTCTAAAATTTCAAAACTTTGGGTTTAGTACATTAAACGGCTGGCCGATAGTATGTTTGTACTTACCTGAGGAGTCAGGTTACAGCAAACACAAATGAAATCACACTTAGTAAGGAGTCCTTCAAAGTCAGTGAACTCTGCATCAAGATCTTTTGCATAGCTGACCTGAGAAAAAAACAAACAAACAAAAAACAAAAGTAGAGCTTGCCCTCATAAGGACACTTTTATAAACATCAGTTCAAACTTATTTTCCCACAAAAAGCAAACACACAGCTTTACTCTTCCCCAGATGGAAAAGATAAGAAAACTTCTTCAGCCTTCCAAACTGATGAGAAAGCAATATTTAGCCCAAGGACAGACAAACCTGCAATCTTTTGAATTTGTTCTGTTCAATGCAATACAGAATTTTTCTTTAATAAACTCACTGGTATATTTTGTAAATCCAATTTTTTTAATCTTTGTAAAGAAACACTCACAACTGAGCATACTTTTGATGATCAACTCTTAATTTACTGGATAAAAATAAGCTTCGTATACAGAGAGCACAGCCTAAAGAACACAGTGGAAATAAAGATGGTAAAAAAAAATTATCACTAAACTACTGTCACAACTGAACATCTGTAGAGGGGGACAAAGAGCAAGAGGCTACTACACACCTCAGACAATGATTTTTGACACAGACAGATGCCCTGGACACTGCGCCAAAGGCTTGAGTAGTTGTAAAAACATTTCAGTTGTAAGATAAGAGTGTGAACATTTTAGTTGCAAGATAAGAGTCACAGAATTAGAAATCTGTTATTCTAAGGGCACTACTAGTCACAACTCACCTCATGAACATCAGTGTAGTAGATTTTGGAGAAGCCAAAAGGCTTGAGTCTTCTCCCAACGTTGAAGCCAATCCTGCCCAGTCCGTAGATTCCGAGCACTCTGTTGTTGAGCTGAGTACCACAGAGCCACATGGGCTTCCACAGACCCCACTCTCCATTCTTGACGGCATCCACTCCTGGAAGAGAGACATCAGCCATGCAGAGAGAGTACAGTTTAGTGTGAGTAACAGTACTACAGCCCTTGCAACAAAAAAGGGTCATATAAGAGACTCAGATTTGAAGTGTTACAAGAGAGTAATATGCACAGAAAAAAGGGAGGAGTAATAATGACGATAGACATCTGATAGGAAAGAAGGAGCAAACCGCACTGCAACACTCACTAACCACCCACTCATGAGGATCCCTCAGAACCACATATAAGTAAAAGTGGTGTCTTGTGGCTTCGTAACACAGAGAAGTACAGTCAGTATCAACATGAAGATGTTACCTTCCCCAGCAAGTAACCACTGTCTCAGTATTCCTTCAGATTGCAAACTAATACCGAGAGCACACCGCTGATTGAAGTCAATCAGAGTCAGGGTCAGCCAGACTTTTCCTCCATGGAGATGCAAAAACTATCATCTTAACTCAATTCCACCGATTTGACTCGGAACCTTGATAAAACATATACATTTAATTTAGAAGGAAACAGTCGAATTTCGTTTAATTTGCTAAAATACAGTAGAACACGGCTATAGCAGGACTTTTGGTTCCAGCAGAAAAATCCCGCAGTAGGTGAGTTCCTGCTATAGGAAATCAAAGGGGAAATTCCCTAAATATTTCTAAAAATCCACATGACTACATCCCTTCCATATCAATAAAATGTGCGCTTTAGATTAGTCTTCCTTTTCTTGTCAACTTTGTTGATTATCTCGAATTTTAATTCGAGTAAGAAGAATTTCCTTTTTTTATCTTTGTTGGAAGCCATCTTTTCCTCGTAAATTGCTTGTACTGTCTATCGTACCGGCAGGCCAATAGTAGAACTGGTGAAGTGGATACGTGCGTATGCCTGAGCATCAACAATCGCAATTCAAAGAATCAGGAATCACACACTACACGCTCTCCTCTTCTTTTACTTTTTGACCTAGCCTAGGGCTATGACCTATATGCTCTTAAACTGTACTGAGCATCTAGGCTATGGCACATCACTTTAAATTTTCGAGTGGCTCACGTAACGCGTCTCTCTGCAGCATCTCTCTCTGCCGCCTTCCCCACCTCACTCATTACTGGACTGGCCAATCACACGACGCACCGCTGACTGCTTGTTTGGATCCCGCCTACAGCCCCCCCAACCCCCTTCCCCACAGCTAGAGCTCACTCAATCTCTCCCGCTGTATCCGAGTTCGGGCTTTTCCTTGCCCCGTTAAACCCGAGCACATGTCATCGAGTTTGCATAAAAGATGGATTCTGGTAAGATCCCGCTGCAGCAGGTGCCGCTATAGTCATGTTCTACTGTATAGATCTACATCCCTTTTGCAGTGGTTCATGTAACGCGTCTTTCTGCACCATCTCTCTCTCAGCCTACCACCTGCCCCACCTCACTCTCTCCGCACCGCTGACTGCCTGTTTGGAGCCTGCCCACAGCACCCCCCTCCCCCATAGAGAAGCATAGAATCAAGATGCTGCTGTTGTGACCTAAGTCAGATTATGACCACAAAAGAATGAAATCATTTTGCAACTCCTCTTCAAAGTCCACCTGTAGTATAACAATTTTTTTGAAGCAGCAAGCCGTTATCCTAAATTTAGACATTTCTATTTTTCAAGAAAAGTGGCTTATATGACAATTAGTGTGGTTTTCTCGATTATCTCAAAAATGTTTATCAGCAATATGATGACAGTGTCTTTGTCATCTTCAAAGTGTGTCCCATTAGTACCTTCTGGCAGTCTGCGAGCGGTCATCAAAAGCAGAGAACACGTCAGCTCAGCCACAGAGTCCGTGGACACACCAGGCGTGTTGGCGACCTGTAACAAATATTTGAACAGTAAAAATTGGCACCGCTTCTCGAATTCAAGTGATAATAGAAATGATCACATGTAATTCTTATATAATACCAGTTTTGAACTTTCAATTTATTTTCTTCCTTTAAAATCTACTCACAGCTTCTCAAATTTAAAAATATATATATATATATACAATAAAACAGCAAAGCTATAAATAAAAACAAATTTATTGCAAAAGCAATGAGTACAACTACAACAAAGGAGCCAAACATGCATAATTTCAATCACGAATATTGACGCAACTCTGCACACGAACAAACTGAGAAAGCAAATACAACATGCAAAATTGAAACAAAATGCAGTACACATGTCAAAACTGAAAGTCATGCTATCACTTCCGTCAGTCACACCATGATCAGATCATGGGTGTGTGAGGGTATTTATTTGTGGGTATGTGTGTGCGGCGAGGGTATTTGCTTGATGGTATTTGTGTGCATGAGGGTATTTCAAGTATTTGTGTGTTGGTGCATGCTATTCCAATAAACACATTGTCATGTGAGTGTGTATGCATGTGTATCAGAGGGGGCGGG